TTTCCAAAAAACGTTTGGTTTTTTCGATTCTCAAGAGGAAATCATAAAAATGCAATAAAGTGATTTTTTTGGTCATGGAAAAAGGCGATAAGTTCAGCTTGGTTAACTATTCTGTTGAGAATAAAGGGTGAGATAAAAAACTGCAACAAAGTCAAAGGCCACAATTTTTACTTTTTTTAATTTTATTGAGTGAAACCAAAAAATGTAGGAAATAGCATCAAATTTTAAAATTATTTTAGATTCGTTCGAATTGGTCACCTTTGGCACGAATTATGGCCTTCAAACGACCAATGAAACCATCACACGCTGCCCGAATGTTGTTCTGCGGTAATTTGGCCCATTCCCGGCGAAGCGCTTGTTTGAGGTATTCGAGACTTTGGTATTTTAAGTGCCAATCTTCCTTTCCAAAATACTCCAGACACCAAATATTTCAATGGATTGGTATCCGGAGATTTTGCTGGCCATTGTGCGCTGGATGTGAGGCTTTAATACACCATCTAGAATATTTTCGATTATATTCGGCATTTTTACTGATGTCATGTTCGATTAATACGAGCGGAGAGCGATCATCGGCTGTTATGGCGACCCACACCAACACCATGACCGGCGCTTGATTTCTGGTGGCCAACCGAAGGTGCACATTTTCAGCTGACCTCTTAATAAACTGCTGGACAATGAATATTTTCTCATCGGAGAAACCCAAATTCGACAGTACACGACTTTCGGCCAAGCAGCGAATCAACTCTTTAGCTCTTTTGAGTCTATTTCTCCCTTCCTTTCAATGGCTTTACCAAAAATGACATTTAAGATTTTTTTTTAATTCACGTTGGAAGAAAATAATTTCAAAAAATTCCATCAAAAACAAAATTTATCAAAAATTACATTTAAAAAATCTTTATAAAATATTTGAAAATAAAATTCATGTTTGAAAAAGTTTCCTGAGAGGCACACATTTCGAGAGGCCTATAATAGTCGAATTTCCTAAGAAAAAAATTTAAAAAAATCTGTCTGAGCCACAAATGCTAATTTAAAATAGCTTTGAATGCCCTCCACCATTTGGAAAGAATTTGGCAATCTTCAAAAAAAAAAAATAAATAAAATAAAATCCGTTAAAAATTCTGTTAAAATTTTAAAAAATAACGAATGTAGCCGTTATATTAGGGTCTATACGACGACGTGGACCTGCATAGGGAACTTCTGTCTGGGCAGTCATTCATCAACGTTATTCGCCCTTGAAAAATATTTTTGTAATATAAGTGATATTTGGCTCTGGTAACCCTTAAAAACTCTTTTAAGAATGGATTATCGGTGGAATTATATATATATATATATATATATATAATATATATATATATATATATATATATATATATATATATATATATATATATATACATATATATATATATATATATGTATATATATATATATATATATATATATATATATATATATATATATATAATTCCACCGATAATCCACCAGAAAGAAATCATTGATGGGCAGTAAAAAATTTAATTATTTTTCCAAATTTTAAAATTTAAAATATTGAAAAAAATTGATTAAAAAATTTTAAAAATCGAAGATATTTAAATTCGGTGTTGTTCGAAAATTTTTTCTCCATTAGTCCTTCAGGCAATACATATTCATTAACAAAATATATAAAAATCAAATTTTTTCCAAATTTTAAAATTAAAGATCTTGAAAAAATTTATATAATTTATAATCCACCAAAAAAAGTATCATTGATAGGAAAAAAAAATATATATAATCCTTAAATTTAGCTCTTACAAAAATCACTAAAAATTGGCAAATATGAGCTCGAATAGTACTTTAAAGAAATGTCTTTCAAACAATTCTTTAAGTAACCTTGAATAAAATCTTTAGCTCTAATGGCCTTGGAAAATCGGAAACTCCTTATGCTTGGATTTTTTTTCAGAAAATGCAGGATTAATGGTTCAGATAGTCTCTTAATATTATCCTTAAAAAACCACAAATATTGGACGTAAAAATGGAAAAATCTTTAAAAAATGTCTCGAAATAAATTTTGAAAAATTGGCTTTTTAAAAATCTTCGAACATGATTCTGATAGTCCTTGAGGATGAGAATGTAAAAAGTACTTAAGTTTTTAACCCTCATAGTCCTTATGACATATTAATAAAATCCACAATTTTGGCTTTGAAAAATTTGGAAAATTTTCTTTAAATAAGCTCCAAAAAATCCTCAAACAGTGAATCTGTTTGTCCTTCATAAAAATTATTTAAAATGCATGATTATGAGCTCTTATGGTCCTTGAAAGAAATAATTCTTAAAAAAATCAATGATTATTGACTCTAATGGTGCTTAAGTAATCCGTACCCATTGGCTCTGATGGTCATGGAAAAAATGCAAGGTCCATAATTTTGACACTGACAGCCCTTGAAGCATCCTTAAAAAATCCCCAAATATTCTTAAAAAATTGTCAAAATAAATGGTGAACAATTCACAGTTATTTGCCTTTTTAAAATCCTCGATTTTTGATATAAAAAAAAACTCAAAAATCATATAAACCCTAATTTAAAAAAAAAATTCGCGATAAGTGGATTCAATAGTCCTTTAGAAATATTATTTTAAAAATCACGACTATAGGTTTTTATGGCCCTTGCAAAAAATCTCGAAATAATTCTTTATAAAATCAACGATTATTGACTCTGTGCTTAAATAATCCGCAATCATTGGCTCTGATATCATAATTTTCTCTCTTTAGCCAAGCTACTTAATTTTGACACTAAGAGCACTGGAGAAATTCTTTAAAAATCCTCGAATTCTTTAAACCATTAAAAGCCCGATTAAAATTAATAATTTTAGCTCTGATAATCCTTGGAAAATTGCTTTAAAAATCCCACAACAGTCCTTTAAAAATTCCCGAAAAAAAATCTTGAAAATGGTTCTTTTGAAAAATTATTTAAAAATGCATGACTATTGGTTCTTATGATCCTTGAAAAATCCTCGAAATATTTTTTTTTGAAAATCAATTAAATCATTATTGATTCTAATGGTTATTAAATAATACTATATCATTGGCTCTATAAAGCCTCCAAGATCCGTGGGTCTAAGGGTCCTTAACAAAAAACTTTAAAAAAAGTATGATTTTAGCTAAATAAATTCTAAAAATAAACGATTGAGGCCCTAATAGCACTTGAGAAAAAATCGTTAAAAAAAGTCCGAGAAAAATCCTGAACAAATCTTTAAAGCTTTGGCTTGGAAAATCCTTGGATCCTTCTGAACAATTTTGTAAGAAGAGACGACTTTCGGTTGTTATGGCGCTCTAAATAAACCATTTCAATAATTCATAAAAAATTATCGATTACTAGCTCTGATAGTCCTCAAAAAAATTCTACTATTACTGGCAACAGTTAACCTTAACTAAATTCTCAAAAAAAAAAACACGGATATGGGCTTTGAAAGACATTGAAAAATTCTATTAAAAAATCCAAGATAATTGGCTATTTAAAAAAATTCCTCGAAAATGCTACCACTTTCGAATCTCATGGTCCTAAAAAAATCTTCAACATTTAAAGACATAAATAATCGTTACTTAACTTTGATAGCCTTCAAAATTCTCTTTAGTCTCAAGTCATAGTCTCTGATAGTCCTTAGTTCTTGAAAAAATTATTTTAAAATATCAAGTCATTGGCCCTGATAATCCTCAAGAAAATTCTTTAAAACAACCTTAGATTTATGGATTTAGTAGACCTTGGAAAAAACCTTATAACTCTAATAGTTCTTCAGAAAAACGATTTAGGATTCACGTTTATTGGTAATGGCCATTTAAAAAATCGTCGAGATAATTCTTTAAAAAAACTCTGTTAGTCCTGGAAAATTTATAAAAAAAAAAATAAATAGTTATTCTTTCTTTAAAAAATTGTATTAAAAATACAAAATTATTGGCTATTGAAAAATTTGTGGAAATTTCTACAACTTTTGGATCAGATGGTCTTTTAAAATTATTTAAAAATTTTTCGAAATAAATCTTTAAAAAATAAAAAATAAAAATCTAATAGCCTTTAAAAAATGAAAATATAATCTTAAAAATCCACGTGTATTGCCTTTGAATTTCGTTAAAAAAAAACGTTTTGAAAGTTTAAAAACTCCTCAAAAATTCTCAAAAAATCTACAATTTTTGGCTATGTTAGTCCTTGAAAATATATTCCCTGAAAACTCCATGATTTTTTGGCCTCTATGCCCTTGAAATTATTTATAAAAATTTTGTAATCATTTGGCTATGATAGTCCTTGAAATTCCGCGATATTTGAAAAAAGGTATTATTTAAAGAATTTCACAATAATTGGCCTTTTTAGCCTTTAAAACATTTCTTTAGATTGCAGCTACAAAACAGGAAACGATATAGCCCTCCCCACTTGCTTTCCAAATTTTCACTGCCTTTGTTTGTTGTACAACAACAAAAACATCGAATTTATTTTTAAAAATTAATTCCTACGGCCGATTTTGTTTACATGCCTCTTTGTGTATATGTGAACCAATAAGCCATTGATTTGTATGTGTGTGTGTGAATATATGCTAATTTAAAACGACAGTTATGTTTACTCGAACGGTTTCGCCTGTTGTTGGCTCTTTTGTGTTAACCATTCTTTTGTTGTTATTGATTTTTTTGTCTTCAGCTGTTGCCCCGACTACGGCTCCGACCACCACCAAAGTGGCCCCCACAATTTCATCAATTTGTGCAAATGGTGGTCTTTGGCTTTTTGTGTGTTTTCGTTATTAATTTGAATTCATTTATTGAGAATTGGTCGATTCTGTGACAGTGCGTCACAGCGACATTTTTCGATCTAAATACAGATTAAATTATGACTCACAGATTGTTTATTTATTTATTTTGGGAATTTTTCAGTGGGCTTTTGTTTATTTAGTTTTCTTGTCAGTAGTGGAAGGGCTGTGGGAGGTTCGCATGGGAAATTTAACAAATTTGTTCAGTCAGAAAAAAACTTGTAATGGCTTACCTTAATTATAAAAATATTATTTGTTTTCTGCAAAAAGAAAAAAAATAAAATTAAATTAAATATAATTTTAAAATTGTGAATTTATAAAAAAATTAAAAAATATTTTTAAAAATTCCACGTTTATTTGAAAGCCCTGAAAAAAATATTTTTAAAAATTCCACGTTTATTTGAAAGCCCTGAAAAAAATATTTTTAAAAATTCCACGTTTATTTGAAAGCCCTGAAAAAAATATTTTTAAAAATTCCACGTTTATTTGAAAGCCCTGAAAAAAATATTTTTAAAAAATCCACATTTATTTGAAAGCCCTGAAAAAAATATTTTTAAAAAATCCACGTTTATTTTAAAGCCTTGAAAAAATATTTTTTAAAAATTTACGTTTATTTTAAAGGCTTGAAAAATATTTTTAAAAAATCCACGTTTATTTGAAAGGCTTGAAAAAATATTTTTAAAAAATCCAGGTTTATTTTAAAGCCTTGAAAAACTACTTTTAAAAAATCCACGTTTATTTTAAAGCCTTGAAAAACTATTTTTAAAAAATCCACGTTTGAATATGGGCCTTGAAAAAATATTTTTAAAAAATCCACGTTTGAATATGGGACTTGAAAAAATATTTTTAAAAAATCCTGGTTTATGGCTAGGCCTTGAAAAAATATTTTTAAAAAATCCACGTTTGAATATGGGCCTTGAAAAAATATTTTTAAAAAATCCACGTTTGAATATGGGCCCTGAAAAAATATTTTTAAAAAATCCACGTTTGAATATGGGCCTTGAAAAAATATTTTTAAAAAATCCACGTTTGAATATGGGCCTTGAAAAAATATTTTTAAAAAATCCACGTTTGAATATGGGCCCTGAAAAAATATTTTTAAAAAATCCACGTTTGAATATGGGCCTTGAAAAAATATTTTTAAAAAATCCACGTTTGAATATGGGCCTTGAAAAAATATTTTTAAAAAATCCACGTTTATGGCTAGACCTTGAAAAAATATTTTTAAAAAATCCACGTTTATGGCTAGACCTTGAAAAAATATTTTTAAAAAATCCACGTTTATGGCTAGACCTTGAAAAAATATTTTTAAAAAATCCACGTTTATGGCTAGACCTTGAAAAAATATTTTAAAAAATCCACGTTTATGGCTAGACCTTGAAAAAATATTTTTAAAAAATCCACGTTTATGGCTAGACCTTGAAAAAATATTTTTAAAAAATCCACGTTTATGACTAGACCTTGAAAAAATATTTTTAAAAAATCCACGTTTATGGCTAGACCTTGAAAAAATATTTTTAAAAAATCCACGTTTATGGCTAGACCTTGAAAAAATATTTTTAAAAAATCCACGTTTATGGCTAGACCTTGAAAAAATATTTTTAAAAAATCCACGTTTATGGCAAGACCTTGAAAAAATAATTTTAAAAAATCCACGTTTATGGCTAGACCTTGAAAAAATAATTTTAAAAAATCCACGTTTATTTTAAAGCCTTAAAAAATATTTTTAAAAAATCCACGTTTATTTTAAAGCCTTAAAAAATATTTTTAAAAAATCCACGTTTATTTTAAAGCCTTAAAAATATTTTTAAAAAATCCACGTTTATTTTAAAGCCTTAAAAAAATATTTTTAAAAAATCCACGTTTATTTTAAAGCCCTGAAAAAATATTTTTAAAAAATCCACGTTTATTTTAAAGCCTTGAAAAAATATTTTTAAAAAATCCACGTTTATTTTAAAGCCTTGAAAAAATATTTTTAAAAAATCCACGTTTATTTTAAAGCCTTGAAAAAATATTTTTAAAAAATCCACGTTTATTTTAAAGGCTTGAAAAAATATTTTTAAAAAATCCACGTTTATTTTAAAGGCTTGAAAAAATATTTTTAAAAAATCCACTTTTATTTAAAGGCTTGAAAAAATATTTTTAAAAAATCCACGTTTAATTTAAAGGCTTGAAAAAATATTTTTAAAAAATCCACGTTTATTTTAAAGGCTTGAAAAATATTTTAAAAAAAAATCAACGTTTATTTAAAGGCTTGAAAAATATTTTTAAAAAATCCACGTTTATTTTAAAGGCTTGAAAAAATATTTTTAAAAAATCCACGTTTATTTTAAAGGCTTGAAAAAATATTTTTAAAAAATCCACGTTTATTTTAAAGGCTTAAAAAATATATCCTTAACAATACAATACACATTTCCTTATTTGATTTTTATGTTTTTTTTTCGGAACCAAATATGGTAGGCTTGTTTCCTTTATGGTTCATTGTTGTTCTAAACTACAACAACAACAATTGAATGTATTCTATTGTGTGATTGAAAGCCACTGCCAAAGAGTGG